ATTCTCTCAATGATTGTATGCTAATTGGACCTACACTTCAACCCGATCTGCGCACTTTACTAATTGAATGGAGATCATACAAAATATGTATTGTAGGAGATATTGTTAAGATGTATAGACAAATTAAAATTGCTGAAGAACACTCAAGTCTACAATGCATCGTGTGGCGTGACGAACAGGAACAACCTTTGCAACACTACAAATTAGTTACAGTAACATTTGGCACCGCGGCCGCGCCTTTTCTTGCAGTTCGGACACTTATTCAGTTAGCTGAGGATGAAAAACATAAATATCATAATGCATCTAATATCTTAAAGAATTCCTTTTATATGGACGATCTAATGACAGGAGCAGACACGGTAGAGCAAGCGTATAAGAATTATGAAGAGATAAATAATTTACTATTGGATGGAGGTTTTGAGATGCAAAAATGGTCCAGCAATTCAAGTGAGTTATTAAGTCAGATGAAAAATAAGTCTAATTGTGAGATAGAAAAGTTGACTTTCAAAATGGATCCTATATTCAAGATTCTAGGTTTGACTTGGAATAGGCAAGATGACAGCTTTCACATTACAGTCCACTTACCAGAATTATCCTATTCCATTACTAAAAGATACATCTTATCAGACATTTCCCGTTTATTTGATCCATTCGGATGGTTATCACCTGTTGTCGTAACGGCAAAGGTTTTTATACAGAAGTTATGGCTTTGTAGAAGAGATTGGGACGAGGAACTGCCACTTGATTTAATTAATCAATGGACTACATATAGAGAAGATTTGAGTAATTTGCAAACTATTACATTATCAAGATGGTTGAAATTACATTCAAAGAATAAGCTGGTGGAGATACATGGATTTGCAGATGCTTCGACAACAGCGTATGCGGCAGTTGCGTGCCTGAGAGTTATTACAGAAGAAAATGAAGTATGTGTTAATTTAATAGCTGCAAAAACTAAGATAGCTCCATTAAAACAAATCTCCGTTCCGAGATTGGAATTATGCGCTGCTGTACTACTAACGCGCTTACTGAATGAAGTAAGAAATATATTGAATATTCCTAAAGAAAATGTTTTCGCCTGGACTGATTCAATGGTAGTTCTGTCTTGGCTGCAGTCACCGCCAAGCAGATGGAAAACATTTATAGGTAATCGAGTTTCTGAAATTATACAGCTAATGGATAATGAAAAATGGCATCATGTAAGGTCTTCTGAGAATCCAGCCGATCCAGCTTCGCGTGGAATTAGTGCAAGAGAATTACGAACAAATGAATTATGGTGGCACGGACCGAGCTGGCTAAGAAAAGAAAATATTTTATACGAGAAGAAAGACATTCCATCAACAGATTTAGAAATCAAGAAAAATGATATGAAGGCACTACATGTTTCAGATGAAGTCTCTATATGGGAAAGATTTTCTAACTTAAATAAACTAAAAAGAGTCTTAGCATACTGCCGGAGAATGAAGTTTAAGAAAGGAGAGGAGAAATATTCTTATTTAACTACTGAAGAATTGAAAATCGTTATGAACAGATTTATATTATTATTTATATTACACTATCAGGAATTATGCTTTAGAGAAGAAATTTAAGATTTGAAGCGGAACAATAAAGTGAAAAGGAGAAGAAAACTATTTACTTTAGATCCTTTTATTGATAGAGATGAAATCTTAAGAATAGGAGGCAGGTTAAATGAAGCCAGTTTCATATCCATATTCAGAAACATAAATCTTCTTACGAGGTGGCAACTTTTACAAAGGATGATGTCCCAGTTTTGGAAATGTTGGCAGTTAGAGTACTTGCATACAATGCAACAAAGATACATATTTTTAGATTATTCCTCATGGTGGCCGGTCTTTAATGGTTTTAAAGACAAAGGTCTTTGGTGGCCGGTATGTCCAAGGAGTTTCAATACTTTAAGTCAGACCACATAGAAAAGAAGAAATAATTTATTCTTTTAAATTTGTAAAAATTTTATTCGTTTGTCTTTTTCTGTTCATATTCAACAATACACGTTTATTTTCGAAAAGAGTGAATTTTATTTTATCTTTCTAACATGGATATTATGGCTACCAATTATATTTACAGCGCAATAACGAATAACCAGCTGGAATATATATGTGATTTGGATTCTGCATTCGAAATAATTACGAAGTTTGACGGAGTGTATTTAAAGAAGTCAACAGCATTGCAAATATTATATAGAAATAAACTTGAGAATGTGAAACTTAATAATTATGCTGATATAAACATTTTCTTCAATGATTTTG